AATCTCAGATAAGACTTTTTTAAAGCTGAGCCCAGCCGTGGATTTGTGCCATCAAATAGCTATGTGTTGGGTGAATTTCCTCTACTGTTGAGGTTCCAAAATAAACCTGGGGCTTCTGAGCCTGTCAGAACGTGGCATTCTTTACTTACCACTGGTCAGAAACCTTATATAGGGACTGTGGACACACAATATGAGGTCAGTTTTTCCAAGTGCTTTATTGGCACCATAGGGAAAGCACACCATTCCTGTCAAAACCTTGGTAAATTACTAGTTTCTCCAATTGTGTCCTGTTACAGATGAAAACAGATTCTTATTGCACTCATGCAAATAACTATATTGCCATAAATTAAGAATACTCACAAACAGCTTCCAAATTCTGGAGAAATTAGAGAGAAAAAAATATGCTCCAAATTTTGTTCATAGGAGTATACTAAATTACTAAAAGCTGTTAATATCTCAAAAGAAAAGTTTTCTTGCCTCTGAAAAAACAAAGGATCAGCAATGTTTTAAGCAAAAAGTCAAAAAGATTATGTCAGTCTTTTATTAGTTCAGTCATGCAGTCAATTACTGTTCTGCTCGATACTCATGAATATTTTAGCTCTCCATGAGAGCTAAAGTAAAATGGTAGTATGAGTGCTATTATTTTATTTTGTAAACTCTACACTTATGATGTCTTGATTAATCAAATACTTACAAATGCCATTTCTACATATTTTTCAAAGTTTTAATATGATTTCTATACATAGCCTACATTTTTCATCTGTTCAAATACTCTTCCTCTTATCCTTATCTTTAATATTGCCTCTATATTTATTATGTCCCTAATAAGGTAGATACAAACATTTAGGTGCTGTTAGATTCTTGGGGAAGTTATTTTGTAATAGGTTTAATGTTCATCAATTCACTTGTATCAGATATGCCTATGCAATAGCTATAATCATATTTTGCTTCATATTTTCCCAAACAGGACATTCACTTCCCTCATTGTCATTTTGTAGACTAGAAATTTAAAGAATAATGTAACTTCATGTATTAAGTACTTAGAGAGTAATTTATTATATAGAGTACTGGCAATAAGGACAATTTGTTTCCTGGGGCAGAGTCATGGAATTACACTGTAATTCCTTATGTGTGACAACCAAATATCTAATTTCTTCTATTTTTCACAGCTTCTATTTTTTATCCAGTATTTTGATAAACAACAATCTAATTCTCAAAATTACCTCATAACATGTTGATAAAGTTTACAAAAACACTGATAAATGATATATATTTAAATGTAGGTCTAGGTCTATTTGCTGAACAATTGTGCCAATTAAATTGATTATTGTAATATTTTCCATTGAAAAAAATATTCCCAGTTACTTCTTCCCCCTTCCCTTCATGCACACACACTGACAAAATGCTACAACCAATTTGACATTCACTTTGAGAGGTTTTGTCTACAAGCCCACTCCCAATTCCAAGTACATTAGGCCTTCCATATCCTTGGGTTCTGCATCAGTTAGTTTTCCAACCAACCAACCAACCTCATATAAAAATATTTTAAAAATAATAATTCCACAAAATTCCAAAAAACAAAACTTGAATTTGTCTTGTGCTGTGTACAAGGCAAGGTTGACTCCACATGAATAAGGTGATGTATAGGTATTGTATTAAGTATGATGAGTAATCTAGAGATGATTTTATGTAAAATCATTTTATATAAAAACTTTGAGCATCCATGGATTTTGGCACCTGCAGTGTTTCTGGAATTATTCCCTGATGAAGATGAAAAACTATATTCTTATCATTAGGCATGTGTGTGTTGGGGAGTGAGAGAAAAAGAAAAGAAACTTGCCTAAGTCAATTTAATACATGTATACACTTCAATTATGTTATGATCTAGAATCGTAGGAGAAAATCTTAGTGTCTGTGGCAGGTTAGGGACTAACTTGTTCATATTTCTCTTATGGCATAGCTAGTCTTTCCTTCAAAATTACTAGAATTTTTTTTTTCTACAAAGAGACCAGTACTGCTTATTAGAATATCAGATGGAGATGGTTAATGGCACTCACATTTATTTACAAGGCCCATGCTGGGCAGGTTCTTCCATTATAAGTCATCCAATAAGCTACTGACTAGCCTATGTTGCCGACCTATCTGTGGTCTTTCCTAGTATGATTATAAAAAAACATTTTTTTCCTCATCCTCACACCACCATGGAGAGCATTTTTATAAAGCACCTTGAGAATAACTAGTGCATTTAGGATATAGACAATAAATATAAGCATTTTAAAAAGGGTATTCCATTTTATTGACAAATTAAAGGTATTTATTTGGAATATAAAAATCAGAAGCTAAGTGAAAGCCAAAAATACAGTCACTGAGATGAAAGCAACAGATAAGAAGAAAAAATAGGAGGTGAGGATGTGCTTAAATAACAGATGGACATAATGGACAAATTTTGCAAATAAACAAGGAAGACAGTGACAAGATTAATAGTCATTTTAATGTGAAAAAGTTTACACCAGTGTGAAATAACTTCAAGAGACCATAAAAAAGAAAAACAGAAGAAAAATAAACATGTGATAAAAAGAAAACAGCAATGGTAGCTATATCCACCACATAGTATATGTTTCTTGCCATCTAGATCCCAGCAGGCCAAACAGAGTTACCTGGATGGCTGCATTGCAGAGGATGGGTCTTGGTACTCATAAGAAGAAGTCCTCACTGAGGGACCAAGACAGCTGATGGTCTGTCTGTGCAATAGAGACAGAAACAGTACTAATCACTAAGTTTCTTATGCCATCCTCCCTCCACTCCTATCACAGAGTGACTCTGAATAGAGCAAAGTGAATGAACAAGCAAATCTCAGGCACTCAGAACTGCTGGCTTTTCTCCCTAGGCTTCTGTCAAGAAAATAAATTGTAAATATGTGCTGGACTTTATGTCACCTCTTTCCAGACAACCCTTTGTACTCTGGTGTCCTTGTACTTCAGTTCACTAGGAATATGCCTAAGGTCTTCATTAACTCAAGCAACTTCTCACTTTGTTAGGCAGGCACCAGCCTCCTGCCCTGGTAACTGCATGCAGCAGGTCTTTAGCCACCAGCTACTAAATGGCACTGCAGAGCCACAGCTACAGTGACCAACCTTGAAGAGCAGGTAACTTCCCTGGCTTCTAATCAACATCTCTTAGAAGCAACAGTGCCAGCAATAGAGCAAAACTTGTCTGCATGAAAGTGAAGGTGTACCTCAGATATTGCTGATTTCAGTACAGACCACCACAATAAAGTGAATGTGCAAAAACTGAATACTACAATACAGCAAGTCATACATCTTTTTGTTTCACCGTGGATATAAAAATTATCTTTATACTATACTCTGGTCTATTAAATGTGCAATAAAATTAGATATAAAAAGGGGATGATTAGATGGCTGAATAGGAACAGCTCCAGTCTGCAGCTCCCAGTGTGAAGGACACAGAAGACGGGATTTCCGCATTTCCAACTGAGGTAAGGGGTTCATCTTACGTGGCCTTGCCAGACAAGTGGGTACAGCCCACGGAGCATGGCGAGGCATTGCCTCACCCGGGAAGTGCAAGCGGTCAGGGAATTCCCTTTCCTAGCAAAGGGAAGCCGTGACAGATACCACCTGGAAAATCGGGACACTCCCACCCTAATACTGCGCTTTTCCAATGGCCTTAGCAAAGGGCACACCAGGAGAGTATATCCTGCAACTGGCTTGGAGGGTCCCACGTCCACGGAGCCTCGCTCACTGCAGCAGTCTGCGATTGAACTGCAAGGTGGCGGCGAGGTTGGGGGAGGGGTGCCCGCCATTGCTGAGGCTTGAGTAGGTAAACAAAGCCCCCTGGAAGCTCAAACTCGGTGGAGCCCACTTCAGCTCAAGGAGGCCTGCCTGCCTCTGTAGACTCCACCTCTACGGGCAGGGCATAGCTGAATAAAAGTCAGCAGAAACTTGTGCAGACTTAAATGTCCCTGTCTGACAGCTTTGAAGAGAGTAGTGGTTCTCCCAGCACTGAGTTTGAGATCTGAGAACGGACAGACTGCCTCCTTCACTGGGTCCCTGACACCTCCCCTTCATGTAAATATTTATTCCATTAATTCTGTCCCCCTAGAGAGCCCTGACTAATACATGGTGTTTGCAGTTTTGGAAAAATTATAAATAATGCTATTTTGGAAATTACTGCACATGCGTATCAGAGAAAAATCAAAGGACAGATAGGTAGACAAAAATGCATACACAAACACACACATATGTGAGATTGTTCATATATGAGTAGAATTTCTTGGTTATAGTATATGTGTACATTTAATTTAAGGAACACTTTCACAAGCTTTCATGAGTGATTGTACCAATTTACTCTTCCACAGTCGATGAATAACATCTTAGATGGTCCACATCTTCAAATATTTAATACTGTTTGTCACTGTCATTCACTTATTTATTTATTTGCTTGTTTGTTTCATTTTAGCCATTTCATTGTGAATGTGGTAGACTATCATTGTGGCTTCTATTTGCATTTCTCTGACCATTTTGTAGGTTACCTTGTTGCTTTTTTAAATTGTGTTTTGCTGATAAACAATGATGCTGAACATCTATCTCTGTGATTATTTGCCATCATATATATTATTTGATGAAGTATCTTGTTTCGTCTTTTTGATGAATCATTGTTAAAAAAAATTTTTTAATTATTAATTTTTAAGGGTTCTTTATATATTTCCTAGATATAAGTCCTTTGTCAGATATGTGTGTTGCAATTATTCACCGAGGACTTGGCTCACATTTTGTTGTTTTAAACATCTTCCACAGACAAAATTTTTAATTTTGATAAAGTCTAATTTGTCATTCAAAAAATTATGAATCATGTAAATTTATTGCTAAACCCAAGATCATGCAAGTTTTCTTGTGTGTTTTTTTTTCTTTCTAGAAATCTTATAGTTAGTTTGTTGTTTTACATATAGGTCTATGGTCTAATTTGAGTCAGTTTTTGTAAAAGTTGTAACGTATATGCCAAAGATCTTTTTTTTCTATTTATTTTTTAGAATTAAGATATCTTGTTATTCCAGCATCATTTCTTGAACAGTCTGTCCATTCTCCATTGAATTGCTTTTGCATCTTAATCAAAAGTAAGTTGATCATATCTCTATTATTTTATTTTTGAGCTCTAATTATTTTCTCTAATAAATGACTTTGTTGAATTTTATATATTTATTAAATATTTGAATGCATTCATTTGTCAACTGTCTGTCCAAGTTTTTGCCCATTTATTAGATGAATGCTTTTCAAATGTATTTGCTTTAACATTATGAATTTCTAGGAACTCTATTTTTAGATAATTCTTACCCTTTTTATTAATGTTAACTTATTTTTAGTTAATATATCCATAACCTGAATATATTACCATTTTTAGTTATTTTGTTTTACTTTTTTTATTTTCTTGATATAAATGCTATGTTGATTTATTTTTAATATTTTTATACTATTGACTTTTCTCAGAATATAGTTTTTTAAATTATATTTCCCCCAAATTTCCTGTGTCTTCACTAAGCTTTAGCAGGTTTAATCTGTACTCTCTACTGTCTTCATTTGGTGGGTTTTATTTTAATTGTCACCATGCTTTTCCCAGCTTCCCTGAATTTTGGCATATTCTCAGAATTGTTTCTGTAATGCTAATACTTGAGGAATATTATTCTGCTTCTGTAATTTTAGTTTCCTCAAATTATACTTTATCCGATTCTCTTTAAACACATAGGCACTTTCAACTACATATCAGTTGTTTCCCCTTGTCATTAAATATTTTGTCTCCAGGGAACTATGCATTTTAAAAATGCGCTGACACCAAAAGTCTGCCATGAAATTTCCCGTTCTCTGTATTTTTATAATGTACCATGCAGCAGTTGTTAATTAATACAACACATCTTAATACAATTACAGGTTGATTTGTCCTCTTTCCTTCACTCGCTTGTAAAATCATTAAGGACATAAACTAAGTTTTATCTTTTGATCCCTAGAACATAGTAGAGATTTTGTCATAGAGTTTACTGTATAATTAAATATCTATCTATCTATTATTATCTACAAAAAACATTTTAACACATTTTCTCTATGATTTTTTTATTCCCTTAAGGAAAATCTCCCCTACTCATTTATAGTGGGTTATTTTCACAGAACCTTATGTTATTTTTACTTCTTTCTTTCTTTCTCTCTCTCTCTCTACATCTTTCTCTCTCACTTGCTTTTAATTTATAACAAAGATACAATTTTTCACCTGAAGTGTTCCCAGCAGTTAATGTACATATATGAGATATGTTCCACTCTCTAGGTAGTTATTAAACAGGAAAGGTTTATGTGTACTTCTCTCGGATGTAATAGGCATTCCTATTTTCTAACCAGTGGAGTATTTTTGATGCTAAAGAAAATGTGTCTCAACCTGACGTAGCATGGTCTAAACCTTCTGCACTTTATTTGTTGCGGGCAATTCATTTGGAACTGCATTTTAAATTATTTGCACCTTATAGTATTTCCCTGATCTTGGCCCTGGCAAAATGTTTTAGATAATCAAAAATTTTTGTCTCCTGATTGTGACATCTGAAACCATCATTGTATACTAAAATGGATGATTTTACAAACTATAAATATTAGCATATTTTCAAGAATGTCTCCGAGCTTATTTTCAGTGGCAAATGTTTCCCTGTGCTTACTTAATACCTTAAAGTCTTATCTTAGGTAAACTTTCTTCTATATAAATAAAGACCATTGAGCACCTGCACTGCTTTTTGGTCTTCCAGATATATGTACCAAAATAACATAAATCCTTTGAAATTAAGGTTCAGAGTAGTTTTTAAAAAGAGGAGAAAAAATTTATGTCATGCTGGCAAATATGGCATTGTAAAGGTTTTAGAGTCAAGTGGTCTAGGGTTTACATCGGGGCTTTTAATCACATTAGAACATAACTTTGAACATATTTCTGGATTCCTCTAAATCAATTTGCTCATTTTTAAAATGTATGATTTTACGGTAATTTTAAAGAGGGTATTGCATGACAAGATAACATATGTAACAAGCTAAAATCGATATAGGTTTTATGGCAAATAATAAATGGCATCTTTGTTGTTTTGCTAGCACTATTTTGTCATTTCTACGCAAGATTATCTCATAGTTCTGACTTAAGCATATAGTGACTGTATTCATAATAAGATCCACAGTAATACGTTTTATACAGTTAGGCATGTATTGAAGAGCCTCGCAGATTTCTAGATTTATGAGCAATCCTAAGCATTCCTCACTGTTGGTATGCATATTAGGGACAATAAGTTGAATAGCCCACACTTAAATTTTGACTGCTAGCACCTGGTAAGGTTAAGCTCCCTGCCCATGCCATCTCACTCATTGCCTTTAATATATTCTTTTCGAAGCAAATGTTTACTGAGTGTGTACTAAATACTAGGTGTGATTTAAATGGTGTTGAGCAAAAAAAGGTACTTATATTTGGAAAAGGGACAACAAACAAGTTAATAAATACCTTGTTGATAATGCTAACCATGAAGAATAAAAATGAAGTGTTATCATGAAAGAGGCACTTTATGGGGAGCGGTTATTTGAGTCATAACAATCAATGAAGTCATCTTTGATAAGAAGACAGTTGGCCAGGCTCGGTGGCTCACGCCTGTAACCCAGCACTTTGGGAGGCCGAGGCGGGCGGATCACGAGGTCAGGAGATCGAGACCATCCTGCTAACACGGTGAAACCCCGTCTCTACTAAAAAGACAAAAAATTAACAGGACGTGGTGGCGGGCGCCTGTAGTCCCAGCTACTTGGGAGGCTGAGGCAGGAGAATGGCGTGAACCCGGGAGGCGGAGGTTGCAGTGAGCCGAGATCACACCACTGCACTCCAGCCTGGGTGACAGAGGGAGACTCCGTCTCAAAACAAAACAAAACAAAACAAAAAGACAGTTGAACAAAGAGCTAAATAAAATGAGACATTGAACAATGACTCCCATATAGAGACGGGGAGAACATTCCAGGACAAGAAATAGCAAGACCTAAAATGCACAATGGGTATGTTTGAAAAATCCAAGAAGTGCAAAGAAGGCAGAGTTGGAAAAGGGGTGTGAATGAATGAGAATGGAAGGTGAGGAGGTCAGAGATGATAACAAGTGTGACTGGTAACTATATCCTGTAGAGCCATATACTGCATAATGAAGACTTCTGATGTTTTGTTGAGTGAAATGTAAATCATTGGGAGGATAGGAGTAGAAAAGTCTTACTTCAGTTTTAAAAGTATCGCTTTGGCTGATGAGTAAAGACTAATTTAAACAGGCAAAAGTAGAAGCAGTGAGACCAGTTTGGAAGTTGTTACTATTTTCTGAGTGATGAGTAATGGCGACTTGAATAGAATGACAGAATAAACATTTCAGAACTTAGTTGTATCTATTTCAAATACACAGCCAAGAGAAATTGCTAGTAGATTGATCATGGAGGGATGTAAAAAAAAAGACCAACTAATACAGTTAAATTTTAATCTGTACAATTGCATAATTGAGTTACTATTCAGAGAAAGGGATACGTTTGGGAAATGATACCCTTTTCTTCATATAGAAATAAAGAATTTAGTTTTGCACAAACTTAATGTGAAATGCCCTATGAGATTTATAATTGGTAAACACCACTTTAATCCATCAAAAAGAGAAAGTTTTTATTTTATGGGAGTGTGTCTTCTTACCCTGAAAAATAAACCTCGATACATTTTATTTCATTTATTTTCAGTAAAATTATATTTCATCTTTCCTGAAAAGAAATACATGCAAGTGTTGATTTTTTAAAGAAGGAATGACATAAAAGCATCTATCTCATATTTGTCTTTTGCATTAAATTTAAAGTGTATTATTTAAAGTTAGCACTTCACGAATTTCCGTTGGTATTTAATTCATTCTCTAGTGAAGAGATAAAAGCATATGCATTTCCATTGTTTACTTCTTTCACACTTTCCTAGTCAAATACTACCAGATTCTCACTGGCAATAGCTTTGTGTGAGATTTGAGAAACTTACCATGAGTTCTAAGAAGGCTTTCATCTCTTGCAGATCTTACAATCTCATTTCAGAAGTAATTGCATTATTTCATTACAATGTATTTTTTGCTGTGGATAATTAGAGAGAAAGTGAGGCTAATAATTGAGATAGTAGGCTGGGATAAAGGTAAATGATAAATATAGGCTGATTTAATGAGGACTAAATTCATTAGTAAATACTTTTATTTTGTGATATCTCTGATGTCACTGAGGTGCACAGCAAGGTTTTTCCATGCAACATATAACAGGCGTATGTGTCATAGACTGACCATGCTGTTGAGGAGAATGATCCAAGTAAGCTTTATTATGTAGATAACAAGAATCACCCTGCACCCTCTTCACCAGCACCGTAATAACTTACAGTGTTGGAAACTTTTTCTCAATTATATAGAATGCTCTTTAGGCAGAGGATGACTCATAACTTTCTACACGTAGACATGCTCGACATTAAGATTGTCAGAGGTTGCCATGTCTCTCTGATTGACATGCTACTTGCATACTTTTGCCCTCATTCAACCTAATGATCAGTTCATAGACCCGCTTTTATCTCATACGTTTATGTAATCTGGCCAAATTCAAGACGAACATTTTTATCTGCCTCTGTAATCGCCTACTCGTGGAAGAGTAGTTTTCTAGTTTTGAAAAATATATGTTATCTGTTTATCAGTTGATGGACACTTAGGCTGATTCCATATTTTGGTTATTGTGAGTAATGCTGCAATAAACATGGGGGTGTGCAAATATATACTGATTTCCTTACTTTTGGATATATACTCAGCAGTAGGATTGATGGATCATATAACAATTATATTTTTATTTTTTTGAGAAACTTTCGTGGTTGATTGTACTCATCTGCATTTCCACCAACAGTATACGAACACTTTCCCTAACTTTTCATCCTCAGAAACTAAAAACATAATGATGTCATGGAGGTAGTGAATACAACTTTGTAACCAGAGGCTAGGAAGGGTAGAGAGGAGTGGGAATTAACAGGTTTAGTTTATGAATATGAAAATGCAATTTTATGTAAGCAATAAGAACTAGTATTCTTTAAAAT